TGCGGCGGATTCATGAACAGGTAGGGGCCGTAGCGCCCTTCTTTTCCAAAATACCGTACCTGGGCCTCATTCTACCGCCCTCGGCCTCTTCTACATCAAAATGAATCTGGCTCTGTTTATGCAGCACATTCATGATCCGGCAGGGCCCTTGGAGGGACGTGGGCCTGTAGTACCCCACATGGAAGACATGACAGCCAAATGATAGCTCATACAAGTAAACAGCAAACAGGAATGATAGCTCAATTCTTCAGGCTCAGGGTTTTCTGGGTCTTGTGGTTGGCCAGAAGAGACAGACGATTCCTCAACTCTAAACCCTCTGTTCCTTCTCTGATAGCACACTGTCAGTTTGAACATTCTATTAGATTGGACATTACGGCTGATTGGATCTGATTCAGACTTAAATGTCTCTCTGGGTCAAAGGAGCTAGCTAGGCATCATTTCCAGAAGAAATGGTCCTCTCCTTTTAAATGGGCCGGCTTCACAGACAAAGACAGACTATTTTATTCTGAACTCCTGTGGAATCATCCTCCTCAGACCTAGTTATTTTTTTTCCCATCAGACAGCTCTTTGCTGAGAGGGTCTGCTGATTCTCCCCAGGGCTGTCAATTACAACCTCGGAGAAGAACCCTTTCTTTTCTACTTCATAATCTCTAGAGGAAGTACATCCGGTTAATATGATCATGGCAAACAAGTATTTCTGTTGACTGTATCCCCGGGCCGAACGTGAGGACCCCGGCGTCCCTTTCGGTTTATGGGACGTTCAACTTGGGCAAATCGTGCCACTCCCCACAAATAGAAAGGAGCTTGTGTTTATGGGGAAAAAAAAGAAGAGAAAACTACGGCGCAGTCAGGGTTTGAGTTTGTAATTGCACTTGAGGCAAAAGGGCCGGTTATGCCGAATGTATATGACCTACGTTCTGGGTCCGGTGGAGTCGCGTGGGGGGGTTTGTATTCGTGGGATTGCCTGAAGTGCAATTACAAACTGTTTTCGTGACTGCGCGGAAGTTACCCCCCCCAAAAAAAAAAAAAAAACCGAATAAAAGTTGCGGCTGTGAAACTCACAAAAGAAGAAAATGAAGAAAAACATGAAACAAAGCTTTGGCCGTGATTGCAGGGGCTAGGACCCACTACCCAAGTATTACCACGCGGAGGCTGCGCTTTCGATCATGTGTGCCCCCCGGCAACCCTTCTTGCCCGTTGATGGTGTGGGATCTGGATGGCCGACATGATTTCGAGCGGGATCACTTTTGAGGTTGCCTTTCACTCCAATCCGCAGCAAACAAACAAGTTGTCATTTTTGTTGGTGCGTTTGCAGTGGCGGGAAGTTGCATTTTTAAGGATTTGAAAGGGGGGGGGGGGGGGGGGGGGGGGGGGGGGGTTGTGACGATACAGAAACAAGGTCACGTTGCGGATCTCGTTCCCAAGCAAGGTTCACAATTTGCAAAATGTTCCTAGTCGGGATTTTGGGCACTGCCTTCAAACAAGACCATGATGCACTGGTGCACAGCCTGTACTATCCCCGTCCTTGACTACTGAGTCTACTGGTAGCACTTCCTTTTTGTTTTAACGCGATGTCCTTGTAAAGCACAAAAAGTGTGGTCACACATCGTATAATACTTCACTAGTGGGACGAGGCCCCAGTTGTATACATTCGTGGAAGTGGTACTTTGAGTGTGCCCTAAGAGGGCCTCGTTCGACACCACTACAAAACCCTTACATGTAAGTTTTTCATTGTTCCACCCCTCCCTAATCACGAAGAAAAAGAAGTTTAATTTGTTTTCACATTCGCGGCCGTAAGGGCGGGCCCTACAAAAGTAAGTACCGCCCAGCCAAAACGGCCCTCACCGTGAGGACGGCCGTGGAGGTGACTTGAAAGTAGGGGGTGGCACCCTTACATCCGCGAAAGAACCATTTTTATTTTTTACTTTTTTTAACCTCAGGTGTGTCTTTCGGCCAATTAGAACGCAAATGGAGGCACCTGAAATGTAAGTGCGCCTAAGTGTAGGGTTTTTGTAAGTGGTTGTGGAACGAAAAATGAGGTAAGGGAAAATTAATCACTTTTTCGCCGTAAGGGCACCCTTACAAAGTAAGGGTTTTGTAGTGGCCCAGACTCCTCAGTGAGGGCAACAGAGTCTTCTTTTCCCGCCTATTCTTTCAAGCCCGTTCCCTTGACTATGGTATCGCAGGATTGCAGATAGGAACAGTGGGATCGTCGTTGATCCATTCTTGCACGTTGCTAATCAGATGACGAGGCACTGGCCTCGTCGTTTTTCCCCAAGCTCGATCCCGCGGCTGTGATTTCGCGGGGTGGTAGAGAGGAACAGTGGGATCGTCGCTGATCCATTCTTGCACGTCGCTAATCAGATCACGAGGAACTGGCCTCGTCATTTTTTCCCAATCTCGATCCCTCGGCTGTGATTTCGCGGGATGGTAGAGAGGAACAGTGGGATCGTCGTTGATCCATTCTTCCACGTCGCTAATCAGATGACGAGGT